TCTTCAAATCTTCAAGAGGGTTCTTGAGAGCCCTTGAATTTGAGACTTTAATCTTCAAGAACTCGGGGGCTTGATAGCTTTTTCCTGGATCAAACGTTATGTTGCTTGAACTTCTCGATGAACGCGGCTTGATGTCGCTTGCTTGGATTGATTTGAGAGCATTTGAAGTCGCCTCTTTACTTCTTGGGGAAGAGAAGCCGCCTCTTTTTCTTATTCTTGGCCTTCGTCTTCATTGAGCGGACTTCGAGCGGTTCTTCAAGAACTTCTTCAAATCTTCGAGAGGATTCTTGAGAGCGCCTGAATTTGAGACTTTCATTTTTGAGATGTGTTTTGAGGTGTTTTAGGTGTGTAGGAGAGAACCCTATTTATAGGTGTAGGAGAGAGAGTCTTGGAAAAGAAGACATCAATTTGATTGGTCCTTCTTTATTTGATATAATCTCTTTCCTTATCTTAAGATTTAATATAATCTCTTTCTTTATCTTAAGATTTGACTTGGTGTGCAAGAAATAATAACTTTATTAATTAAATATATTATTTATCATGGATTTATGTCTCAAAATATAAAGACATTAATTAATCAAATATTAAAATTTTGATGTCTAAAAGGATATATAAAATGATTGGTGTGTTATCATGTAACTTGTTTGTGTGACAAGACTTGTGCTCAGGCAAATATTTATATTGATTGCAGTAAGTGGAATTTGTAAGAACATAATTCAACGAGTCATTCATATAAAGATAGAGGATGTCACAAATATCAGAGAGAGCATCCATGTTGACAAATTAAAGCTAATAAACCCCGACTCTAGAGCAAAACGAAGTCCAAAACTTAGTGAAGGAGCTCGATTATATTCAAATTTCAAATCCAAATAAATACTGTCACGAGATCTTATTTGTCATCGACTTACAAAAATTTGAATAGGATACGAATGCGTGTCTGTGTATGTTTTTTTTCTTAAAACTTAAATAAGAAAATAATAAACCAAGTGCGCATCCCCTTTTTCTTCCTTTTCAAAACCCTTCCGTTTCTCTCATCTCGAAAGTTCATGCTTAAGATCGCCGCATGCCACTTCGTCACCGTCAGCTCCCACCCCCGCTCTCAAGGCAGCCGACGTCGAGACATGTGCCCTTTTTGCCGTCTCTCTCTCTCTCCTCCACAGTGGTGTACCTGGGTTGTAACTCGAGTGAAGTTTGAAATATCTTGAGCATTTTTATGAGAAAAAATGAGTCAATTTATATAGTAGCCCACTTCTTGTCTCGCAGCCCCGTATGCACAAACAATTAAAAAAATTAAAGTAAAACGAACAAGACAAATAAATATACAACATTATATTTTTGAATTACCATCTAATCAACCTTTGAAATTATTTATTTGATGTGTAATAACTAGAAGTTAAATGTTGTTTGATTATAATTTTTTGTTTCTTTTGGAAAAAGTTGATGAGAAAAACTTCATTTGATGTTTGTTAAAATTAATAATTGTTTGATAATCAACAAAAGACATCCATATTGAATGGTTTGTTTAATTAATTCTATTTACTATCCATCACTACCAAATACACACTATAAGAAAATGAGGAAATTCCAACAAAAAATAGCAAGGAAAATGTATTCCTATTGAATTCCAATGGGCATTCGATTCTTATTATTGGATATTCTAACAAAAGTAACGTTGGAATGAACTTTTCACTGAAATTTTTGTTGGCGATTTTAAAATTCCAACAAAAGATTTTTCGACGGTTGAAATATGGATGGAAATAAAAAAAAAAAAAAAAACTAATGAAAATTACATATTCCAACGTTAAAAAAATTGTTAGAAAATTGGTCCATGAAAAAAATGGAATTTCAATGAAAATGTTGGAATTTCTGTCAAAATACTAATGAAATTGCATATTCCAATCTGGATTCGGTTGGAATAAAAATACACATGAAAATGTTGGAATTTCTATTGGGATCATTCCAACATAAATTATACCAATCAAAAAATGGTATTTGGAATAATCACATTCCACCTATAAACCTAATGGAATTTCTGTTGGAATCATTTCAATATACACTATATCATTAGAATATCCATTAAAATATGTTACAGTGGGATTTTGTCCTAAAGTATGACATACATTTTTTAGGGACAAGAGCTATTTTAACATAAAAAGGCTTCTAGGATAATTTAATAATTATGAATTTGAGATATACATGTTATTATTTATCTACATAAATTACATTTATAGAATTTAGTTATTTATTCTTTTCAAATTTAGTACATAGTTGTCTTTTTGTTTGTATCATTTTTATTAATAGTAAGTTTAAAATCAAAGGCTTGATAAGTTGAAAATAAGTTGAAATATTAAATAATGCTAGTAAAAAAATATTCAAATTAGCATTTTTTTTTAATCTTAATAATTCTATCCTGGGTAGATTTTAAACCTTGCCTCCGCCCTCCACTTTTCGTTGACGGTAGGGTTGGTTTTTCTGGCTTGGGTTCCTTCCTCCTGGCCTGGAGGACGTTTTTGCCACATTTTTCGACAATTGTCTGAGATTCCTTCCTTCAGAGGGTGTTTCTACCGCGATTTCCAGCAATCGGTTGGGGATCTTTTTAGTTGAGAAAGGTTTGGCTACGGACTCTGACGATCTAGTGGTGGAGACTATGGATCTCGGCCCCCCAGGCGCTGTTTGTTGATGGTTCCAATTTTTAAGGGTGAGTTTGATTGAGTTTGATGTGTTGGTCTCAAATCCGGTTAGCCATTTCCTAGTTGTGGAGCATCTGGATCTATGATTTTTACCAAGATTTTTCTTTTTTTTGTTTTTTTTTGTGTAGACGTCGTTGATTCATTGGCTCGAAGGGATGGATCTAGAAATTAAGAGTAGACTGGGCTAGAACCTTAATCATTTTCATAAAAATCACGTATTTTTTTTTTTTTCAAATTAGTTGTGTTCGGCGAGCTTTTACAGAATAAAATTCCTCAACAATAGAACGTATACATTAGTAAACTCTCGTTTTATGAAAAGCCTCAAACAATCTTCAAGAAAACCAACTCCAATCTTAAATAAATACAATATATTAAACAAATGAAACAAATATCTAAATTTCAAGAGGGGGTTTAAAAATATAAGTTATATAACTTACATTAAAAATAAATTATTCGCTTTCAGAGGGGCATCACGGAGGTTAAATTCGTTGCTCTTCTAAGTTTTAATTGTTGCTCGTACTTTACAGTTCAGAGAAGAGGAGAAGGATTTAGACGGGCTGGATTTTTTATTGGTATTTTTATTTTTATTTTTTTTAGCCAATTTTTTTTTTTTTATTGGTGTTTGTATATTGATTGTGGGTTAGTGGAAAGGTGGGTCAACCATTAATATTTTATGAAAAATAGATCGTGGATGGCCGGGTTGCTGCTGGTGATTCGCGCAGGCTGAAGTACCCTTCCAAACTTCTTTCCTTAGTGTCTCTGGTGTTGGGTCCGGGAGAGACTGGTGCTACTGTTTCGACTAGTGGTATTAGTTGGTTTGGGGCAGCGGTGTTGTGGATTGAGTGTTGGGCTTCTTTGGCTCACTGCGAAGGGGAGGGTCTGCTCTCAGGTTGGTTCGGGATGTGGGTTTCTGCTTCATATAGGCCTTTGAACAATTTCGGTGGTTTCTCGGGCTACGGATGTTTTCTTAGAGTCGACTGTTCGTTCGGTCGATTTGTTGCGGAAGGACTCTTTTCTATTTTTAGTTATTTTTGTTTTTGTAATTTTGATTTTGTAATCGGGTATGTCTTAGTTTGTTTTTGTGTTGGTTGTTTTGTGTTGTTTAGGTCTTTGTTTTTTGTTTGGGCCGTTGGCCTCTGTGAGCCTGCGGGCATTACTCCGTTGGGAGTCATTCCACATCGTCCCGTTGGGGTCATCTTCGTTAGGTCTTTGTGTTGTGTTATGTTGTTTAGAGTTTAATTTCTAGCGTTGCTAGCTGGGTTCTAGGCGGTCTTTTGACATGTCCTTCCAGTTTTTAGCCGTTAGCTGTACTATTCAGGTATGAGCTGTGTAATTTGCACTTTGTGCATTTTTTATTTATAATATTTCTATCGTTTCGTAAAAAAAATAAAAAATAGAGAGTGGTGTTTGGACTTATAATGAGTTATTTAGTTTTGTAAGCTAGTGAGTTGGTTTATTGATGAGTTATTTACTTATTTTGTGGGCTAATGAATTGGTTTATTGGGTGGGTTGGGGATACAATACAAAAAATTAAGCCTAATAATTGTTAAACAAAAGTTAACAGCCTGAGCCCAGCCCCAGGCAATAGTAAATACGTCCCTGTTGGCTCGTGCGATGGGTGTGGCGATGTAGCTTTTCAGAAACTAAGGGTGGTTTTAGTTTATACTATTACTAGCAGGGCCGTCTCCAGAAATTCGGAGGCCCTAGGCAAGTTTTTCGAATTTTCTCGATTTGAACTTACGTGGTAATTAGGCCTATTCGCAGATAAAATCATAAATTTTAACGAGACTATTAAATAAATAAATAAATAATTGAAAAAAAAAAAAATTGAACTTGGAATTGATAAGTTACCTCCGGGCTACAAAAATCTTTAATAAATTACAAAACCAATCACTACGGTTACCGGAATCATTCTCTCGGGTTTGTAATTGTAAAATATAGTTAATGAAATTATTACAAGTTCCGACGAAATGGTTCCGTAACAAGACCGTAGTATTTCCCATTTGTATATTGTAATTAACTCATATTCGAGTTTATAAATAAGGGAAATGCTACAGTCTCGTTACGGAACAATTCTGTCGGGATTTGTAACCGTTAGATCATCATGTAACCGTCATGGATAGTTGATCTAACGATTACAAACCCCTACGGAATGGTTCCGTAAAGGGCAATAGAATTTCTCTATAAATATGTCATTGTTGAAAAAAAATAAAAAAAATAAAAAGAGAAAATCATAAAGGGTTCGATTTTATCAAAAGTGAGAACGACGCGCCGTAGCAACAGAAAAGCAGGTCAAACTATTGCCCATCCATGGAACCCAATATATGGCCTCAAATTGTACGGAATTCAAACCAAATTTCAAAAACCTCAAAACGGAAGCCCAACGTTTTCCGGCAGTTTCTCAAACCTGAATCTTTCAAGGCTTTCTCCGAGCAGACAGCTCTGTAATAAAATGGACGCCATTAGAAAGCAGGCCACCAAGCTCAGAGAACAAGTCGCCAAGCAACAGCAAGTAGATCTCTCTCTCTCTCTCTCTCTCTCTCTCTCTCTCTCTCTCTCTCTCTCTCTCTCTCTCACACACACACACACACACACACACACCTGAGGTGTACACAGATGAGCCCTACATTTCTATTTACTCTCTGGTGATGTAATGCTTCTTTAATCTCACTGTTTGTGTGTATGAAAGTCATAACTCATAAGGCTCACAATCACAGCCGAAAAATGTTAAAGCTACTGTTATCTGGCTTACTTACAGCATAATAGTTGATACCCCGAAGTCCGAACCTCCGGGCGCATCTCCGGCGGTGAATTCATTATCAATCCACGTGCTCCTTTAAAATGCCCCTTTAGTCTCCCGTTGACTGAGATTGAATACGATCAAGAATGACCTCTCTCAGGTCCTAGTTTTCTGGGAATCTCTTTTGATCATCGGGTGAATAAGCAGGTTGTCAGGCGTAAGGTTCGATATAATTGACCTCGATTTTAGTTCTTGTGGGACTGGGTTTCTTCGTTTAAAGAGCAAGTTTTCGCCATTTTTATGGCGTTCTGAAGAAAGAATGAGTGGTTTTATCATTGAATTAACTTAAAGATTTGATTTTTATGCATAATATGGGTTTAAACATGCTAATGAGAACCAGATTTATCATAGTTCCTCCATTCTTAATACTTTATGAAAGAAAAAAGAATCGGTTAATCGAGTAAAATTCGTTGTATTGCCTTAAGAAACTGTATTCTGTAGCCTGTTATGTTTCTGAGGTGTGTGGAAGGTGCATTTTCCATCTGTCTATTACTTATGTAGATGTGATTTAGCATAAAACTGAATATGCTCCCTTGTTTTAGATACATGTTTCTTTTTTTATTGATTTGTTGTAAGGAATTTTAATTTTTTTGTTCCGATTTCTCGATTAGGCTGTTCTCAAACACTTTGTTGGGGGAAATGGTGGCTCAGACGATATTGGGTCCGATGAAACTGAACTCCAACAGCATCAAAGATTGGAGAAGCTTTACGTATCTACTCGTGCTGCCAAGGTTATCATCACCCGTGTTACGGTTCACCTTAAGGACTTGCCTCTATGTAGTTAATTTTATTTATTTATTTATTTATTTTTTGGGTGCCTTAACAGCACTTTCAAAGAGACATTGTCCGAGGCATGGAAGGTTATATCGTCACTGGAAACAAACAAGTTGAGATTGGTAGGTTACGGACATATTTTCGAAAGAGCTTTTCAATATCAAATATGACGGATCTTTTACTACAAAGTTAGTTCTTCACAGGTACCAAGTTGTCAGAAGATAGCCGGAAATACGGCTGTGAAAACACATGCACCAGTGGGAATACTTTGTCCAAGGTGGCACTAAGTTATAGTAAGGCCCGTGCTCAAATTGAAAAAGAACGTGACAATATGCTGAAACTGTTTCGAACTCAGGTCTGTATTTGGTTCAATATCACATTTTTTCTGTTTTATTTCCAGTCGTAATGTATGCATAAATTGATCAAGACGCGCAATGGTAAATTTTCCATGTGCCCTTTTGAGACTCGTGTTAATGTGAATTTTGACGAAAGCTATTTTGTCATACTGTGAATGGTTTGATTTATGCAGGTTACAGAGCCTTTAAGGGCGATGATTGTGGGGTCCCCACTAGAAGACGCTCGGCATCTTGCGCAAAAGTACGATAGAGTGAGACAGGAGACTGAATCTCAGGTAAAAACATCAAATTTAACGAAACAGGATGCATGAAGAAACAAGATATAAAGAACAGATTTTTATATGTCTATATAGTAGAACTCCATTAGGTGCGAAATTTTATTTATTGAATTTCTCTTGGCCCAGACAGGTCATTGATGTCGCTCGATGCCAAGCTAGAGTTAGGGAGACAAACGTTAATCCAGAGAATATATCAAAGCTGGAAGCTTCTGAAATGAAGCTTCACGAGCTTAAGTCAAATATGGCTACACTAGGTAAAGAAGCAGCCTCTGCAATGGCTGCTGTTGAAGGTCAACAGCAGAGGTTGACTTTACAGAGATTAATAGCCATGGTAATTATATGTACATTTCAAAATTACGCTATTTGGGTATATTTTGTTCTGACGATTCTAATATCCATGGAATTTGAATTGATAGTTTAATACGTCATAGGTTACTGTTTTATGCAGGTTGAAGCCGAGAGAACTTATCATCAACGTGTCCTTGAGATACTCAATCAGCTAGAAGCTGAGGTATCACATTACTTAGAAGGTTTTTTTTTAAATCATATTTTATATCAGGACTGATAGATTAGTTTCACCTGTTCATTAGATGTTATCCGAACGTCAAAACAGTGAAACTCCACACATGGGGGCTGCTGATAGCACAAAGCCTCCGCCTTGCAATGTGTCTGAATATTTTGTCTCTCAAACGTTCGACAGGTCAACTGATGGCACGGGTTACTTCCTTGGGGAGGTATTTAATCTAATTACCTTCCTTTATGCTTATCATTTTACGTAATTATGTGTGCGTGATTCTTGACAATTGACTATGTATTCAAGGTCATTCATGCATACCAAGCGGAGTCTGATGTGGAGCTGACTTTAGCTCTTGGCGACTATGTTGTTGTCCGAAAGGTTTGTTCTATTTTCTTCACATTCTCTCAAACAATACGCACTTATTCACAGCTTATTTCTTAAGTACTCTCTGTTTTTGTGAGTGTTTATTTTATTTTATTTTTTACTTGTTAAAAGTGTTTGCTTCGACTTGCAAACATGATTTCAGTTTCTCAACTATATTTTTTGCCATAAAATTTCATATTTTCGAACCGTAAAAGTAACTTTTTTTTTTTCTTTTCGCTCTTGCAGGTGACAAACAGTGGTTGGGCCGAAGGTGAATGTAAAGGGAAGGCAGGCTGGTTCCCATTCCAGTTTGTCGAGAGACGAGAACGTGTTCTTGCCAGCAAAGTGGCTGAAGTATTTTGATTTTCGTAAAATCAGTAAATCTATTTATTTTTTCCACGCATGGCTATTGTACTTGTGCTCGACACTTAGGTACTTGGCCCCAATTTCATGCATAACGAATACAAAAATGAAGAAAAAAATCGAAGCCAGATCGACTATCGGGAATTCATACTTATCTGCTGTCAGTATCTTTCTCAGTTTCTCAGATGTGCAATGTATATATAGCAAAACATTAAGATCTATTTATGGTCATCTGAAAAGTAGGTACTTTTTTTATTGATGGGTTCAGTTGAATGGATAGAATGAGAGTAATTCTAGTCGCCAAAAATATCTTTCAGGCATTCTTTCCTGTCATTTTCTTGTTCAATTTTTCTTTCTTTCCCATATTACACATGATTTATGGGATTCATCTCTAAAATTGATTCTAGAGATTTATGGCGATTGTTGTATATTAAGAAGTCTTATTTTTTATTCAGGAAGGTGGAGATCCTCTTGTATATATAAATACTCCCATTGTATTCTTCTCCAGTAACAAAGACCATTCACACAATTCCATCACTTTCTTGTGGTATTAGAGCCACATTCCAAAACC